GAAAATTCACTGCAGCTTTTCTATTAGAATTAAGCCCTTATAGACAAAAATATATTTCGAATTATATAACGTTTCACTAAACTAAATGTTAGCGATAACATTACCATTAATCGTAATAGGCCCCTGGAGTCCTGATGGCAAGCTCACGGGTGATTGCAGTTGAGACAGAATGCGAATGCTCCGCCGGTTGCGCACGGTTGTGTTGCCAGGGAGCCTATTTTGACCAGTTGGGAACCAATTACATCGAACATCTCCACTGCAACAGGCATAAACTCATATCTAGCAGGCAGGGAACGGTGTTTAACTTGTTTATGCCCGTCAGTCTGTCGGACGACAAAACCGAACGAAGTGGTGTTTTATTCACAATGGCAGGTTTGTTTGGAATAATTTAATTGGAAATGTTTATAAAAATGACGTGGGGAATCATAAAATAAAGAAATGATCGAAGAATTAATCGACCTAAAATGTATCATGAAAAAAGAAAGTGAAAAGGATAAGAAAGAGGGAGAGAAGAAGAAGAAAAAAAGGAGAAATAGACAAAGAAAGAAAAGAAGAATGGTGAAGATGAATGCACGAAATGGAAAAAGAAAAAGAGAACGAAGAGGAGAAGAAAGAAGATGATGAGGAAGAAGGTGAAGAAGAAAGAACAGAAGAAAGACGAAGAAAAAACGAGAAAATAATAATAATAATAATATTTAGAAGAAGAATATCATGAGAAAATAAAGTCAAAAAGACCATGAAAAAAAGAGGAGGAGTATAATTAGATGCAAAGAAAGATAATGCTGATGAAAAAAGGCAAAAGGAAAAGGAAAAATATGAAAAAAAATACGAGGGTAATAAGAAGAGGGAAAAGGAGAAGAAGAAGACGAAGACTATCAGAAGGGAAATAGGAAGGAAAAGTAGAAAGCGAACGGGGAAGAAAATGAAGAAAACAAAGAAGAAGGGAAAAAAGAAGAAAAAAAAAGAAATGAAAATAACAATGAAAAGAAAAGGACAATAAGAAAAAAAAAAAAAGTAGATGGAAAAAAATGAAATGATGGATGTAAAGGAAGAAGAAAAATAAAAAAAAAATAACGAAAAAAACGAAAGAAAAAATAATAACGACAAAAATTAGAAAAAAAAAGACGAAGAAAGAAGAAGAAAATGAAAAATAATGGATGTCGAAAGGAGGTAAATAAAGATGAAAAAGAAGAAAAAATGAAAAATAACGGAAAAAAAGAAAGGAAAATAAGAAAATGGAAGTGAGAAAAGTAGATGAAGAAAGGGAATAGGAGACGGTAAAGAAGAAGAAGTTGTTGCTGTTGTTGATGATGATGATGATGATGGATGTCGAAAGGGAGAAGGTAAATAAAGAAGAAGAAGAAGAAGAAGAAGAAAATGAAAAATAACGTAGGAGTAGATGAAAAAGAAAAGGAAAATAATAAGAAAATAATGAAGAAAATGGAAGAAGAAGAAGAAAATGGAACGAATAAAATAACGTAGAGATAAAAAAAAAAGGAAAATAAAGAAGAAGAAAGAAAGGAATGGAGGAGTTGCTGAGATGAAAAAGAAAAGGAAAATAATAAAAAGAAAAGAAAAAGAAAAAGAAGAAGGAAAAGATGATGATAGATGAAAAGAAGAAAGGGAAAATGGAGGAGAGAAAGATGATGAAGAAAGGAATAGGAGAGTTGTTGCTGTTGGAAGTTGATGATGATGATGATGATGATGATGGATGTCGAAAGGAGAAGGTAAATAAAGAAGAAGAAAAAAAAGAAAATAATAAAATAACGAAGAAGAAAAGAAAAGAAATGATGGAAAATGATGGAATAAGAAAAAATGGAATATGAAAGAAAGGGAAAATGGAGGAGACGGAAGAAAGGAATAGGAGACGCAAGAAGAAGAAAAGATGCGGATGAGGAAATGGATGTTGATGATGAAAAATGAAAAAAGAAGAAGGATGAAAAAGAAGTTGAATGAAAATGAAGACGAAGAAAGAGGTGAAGATTGGATATCGAAAAAGGTAAATAAAGAATTTGAAGTGTAAAGAAAAATGAAAGAAAATAATAAGAAAATGAAGAACAAGAAAGAAGGTGATAAAGAAAGTTAATTTGAAGAAGAAGGAAGAACAAAAGATGAAGGAACAAAAAGAAAAGGTAAGAAAAAAAAAAGTGGAAGAGGAATAGACGAATAACAGGAGGAAATGTCGAAAAAAAAATAGGCAGACGAATAACAGGAGGAGGGGGAAGAGGAGGAAGGGGGAGAATAAGAAAGAAAGAAAGAAGAAACGAAAGAAGAAAAAAAGAAAGACATGAATAAAAATAGCAGAGAAAGTAGAAAAAAGAAGCAGGTGAAGAGGAAGAAGAGGAAGCAAAAAGGAGGAGAAAAGAAAATCTGTAAGAAAAGAAAAAGAAAAAAAAGGAAGAAGATAAAGAAAAATAAACAAAAAAAAAAAAAACAAATGGGAAAAAAGAAGGAAAAGAAGTAAGAAAAAACTCAAAAATAAACTACTAATATTTACCATTTACTTATTTAAGTAAATGCTGGCAAACTGAAATACTAACGACCAGTATTGACCTATTCTCCAGCCAAGTAAATGGCTGGAGCAACGTTTCTCAATATAGTGATTTTCCAAGCGTAGCTTAGAGGTGGCACAAGGCCGAAATTATAGGGCAACCAGTGAGGATCGAACTCATTCGTAATTGTTCTAGCGAGACAAGCTTGATAACTATTACACCACTTCGTACCCAACATTTTTCAATATATTCGTAATTTATATTGAGTCTGTGTCTTAGAGGCTTTACTACCTCGCTTGGAGTAAATTCGATTAAAAAAAAAAAGACCAAAAAGGAGACTGAAAAATGTGTAACCAGAATCATAGGCTGCTTTGGGGATAGGCAAATTTGCCTTTCCCAAAACTCAGCAAAGAAATCAAAGAATCAAGAAAATTTATTTCGAAAAACTACTGTTAGTCCGTTTATATGGCAGTGAATGATGAACATGTGGTCTGAATCAACAGAGATGTGGTTCTACAGAAGGATGCTGAGAATACCATGTATAGAGTGTGCAAAGAACGAGAAAGTTTGAAAGAAAATGTAAACAAAAAAGCATACTTACACTTAAGGGATAGAAATGTTAGGACACCTAGTCAGGAAAGAAGGACTAGAAAGTTTGACACACACAGTCTATATTCAAAGCAAGAAGGACATGGTGAGGAAAGTAGCGATTAACATAACGAGTGTTGGGAAATGAGATGGTTAATAAAAAGACAAACGTTGCTAAAATCCTACAAAGATAGGAAGTTGTGGAGAACTGTAATTGCCAACGTCCTTAAGTGATACAGAGCCTTGAAGAAGACTGTTATATTCCATGCTAAGGGAATAAATACTTAACACCAGGTGGATAATAGAAGAAAGGTTTATTGTACACAGTATGAAATACGGTACAGTTATACAGACAGGTCAATCTAGTAATGAGTGCCACTAGTCGGACGAGCTTGCGTCTTCGCGTGGTATTTACTTAACTCCCACGGGGTCAAGATGTGACACAAGGTTGTTTAACGTGGGAGACCCGAGTGTTTCCACTCAAAGGGCCACTGGTCCGAAACTGGTCTTAGCTTGTCCAAGCTGGTCAGAGCCTAGTCAAAGTTGGTCATGACTTGTCCTAGCAGGTCCAGGTCGGAGCCAGTCCAAGCTAATCGAAGCCTTGATTGAATCTCAGCCATAGGCCAAGAACCGATCCAATATTTGTCAAAAACCCCAACGAAAGTCGTCGGGCGCGTTCTCACTCAAGTCTCTCGTATACAGTTTTATAGTTACTTACTACCTATAGTGTAATTATAGGTAATACTTACTACCTATAGTGTAATTATAGGTAATACTTACTACCTATAGTGTAATTATTCATGGGGTTGACTGATTATTCCATTACATCAAAGACAAAAGAAAAATCCGTCAGACTCTATAAAAATAATTAATTTGTAAGCATGAGAGAGCTATAGAAATTGTGGGCTGTCAAATTAATGGTCATGCTCATAATCATCAGAGTACTGGAGGGGCATTTGTTAAGACTTGATTCTAATCTATACTTGTGATGTGAATTTACAGTAACTTTTTATTTTGCCTCTTCTATGTGCTGTGTCCCTTCAGGACGTTGGTAATCATGGCTCTCCGCAACTTCTTATCCTTTGTGGCTTTTAGTATTTTTTATCTAGTCACCGTTTTGTCGACCATTTACATAAGTTTGTTAGGTTGGTTATTCGCGGATTTTCTCTGTCATTATTATCTTCAAAATGTCACGTGAGTGTCAAATTCTCCAAGCCCCTTGTCAGCATTAGGCGCTCTAGAAATGTCAACTGTTTCTTTCTGATTCTAATTATGTGTCCTTTTGTTTATATTTTCTCTGAAACTTCGTCTTTGCTTACACGTTTCGTTCATGGTATTCATGCTCATCATCCTTCTGTAGAACTGCTTCACGTTGCTTCACGTTTCTTCTTCATCTTTAAGGAGATTGTCCAGCATTAACTGCCATATAGGTGAACCGACATAACAGCTCATTACTCTTTTCTTTGTTTCTAACGAATTTTTTCTTTTTTTTTTATACTTAGCTTAGCTTCTGGAAGGCAACTTTCTCTATTCTAATATAAAAAATAGATATTACATAAGAGTTCAGTACTCTTTTCCTTGTTTCTTACGGATTTCTCCTGTTTTTTATACTTTGCTTAGCTTCTGGAAGGCATCTTTTTCTATTCTAATATAAAAAAATAGATATTACATAACATTTTAGTACTCTTTTCTTTGTTTCTAACGAATTTTTCCTGTTTTTTTATACTTTGCTTAGCTTCTGGAAGGCACTTTCTCTATTCTAGTGTAAAAATTAGATATTACATACCAGTTTAGTATTCTTTGTTTTCCTGTTACTTTGCTTATCTTCACGAAAGCACCTTTCACTATTCTGATGTAAAAAAAAATACTTATTACATAATAGTGTAGTACTCTTTTCTTTGTTTCCAACAAAGTTTTTCTCTTTTTTTTAATACTTTGCTTAGCTTCTGGAAGGCAACTTTCTCTATTCTAATATAAAAAAAAAATAGATATTAAGTAACAGTTTAGTACTCTTTTCTTTGTTTCTCATAAATTTTCCCTGTTTCTTAATATTTTGTTTGGTATTTAGAAAGCATCTTTCGCGATACGAATGCGCCTTCAGATCTCTGTTAAAACGTTCCCTAGTCAACAAATATTAAGAAAGATTTTGTTGCTTTTTGTCTTGACCCGGTAAGTATTTTTGAAAACAAATTCGGCCTCGTTTATTTCGCATTCACCTTCCTCTTCAGATTGATTAATTGACTGGTTTTTTTGTTTCCAAGCACATCAACTCCTGATGGGTCATTTAATTTGAATTTTCTTAGGAAGTTTGAAGTAATAAATATAGCATATATGTTATTCTGCTTTCACAATTGGATACATGGTAGATGATGCGCAGCTTTTGTGCCTATACATGTTTGTGTGGATATAATTATTAGTTACATGATATGTGTGTTTTAAAATTGTAGTTTTATTGAAGTTATATTTTAGAATACAGTTTGATTTCTTAAACAAATTGTAGGATATTATATGGATTAATGTTATGAATGATATTTCATGTTGCTTGTTCGTATGGCTGGTCTTGTTTAGCGAAATATCAACTTTTGTGTGCCATTCAATGCTGAAATCCATTTTTATGTTGTCAACTAAATATATTTTGAACGCAATTCTATAATTTCGACTATAGATAAAACGTATTGCTGTTTATTTTCCTTTAAAATGTGTTGTTGGTTATTTTAAGTGCTGTGGCTTCCCTCTGTCTTTTCTACAAATATTTTCATAGGCAACTGTTTTGACAAGCTATTTTTATTGTTACCTCAACTACATGAATTTAAGCGTGCTACTAGGTTGGCATCTCGGTTACACCCTTTCACTGTCGAAACTGCTAAATGCAACCGTCTCTTCTACTCCAACAGCTTCTTCTCTCGCACTTCCCAACAGTGGAACTCCCTTCCGCTTAGATGCTTCTCTGATAGCTATAATCTTCAAATATTCAAATGTAATGTCAATCGACATCTGCTGATGCCATGATCCCGATCCACGTCCTTCTTTTATCCTTTCCTCAAACAACGCTCTTTACATTTGCTCTCACTCCCTGTAACCCCTAGTGTTCTACTGGCATTCCCGCATTGCTTGGGGTGAAATGCTTAAAACGTGTATTGTTGTTTTTATATATATATATAAATATATATATATATATATATATATATATATATATATATATATATATATATATATATAAAGGTATTGCTGGTATTTTTTTTACTATAAATACGTATTTTTATAATTTTATATTTTTTTTGGGGGTGGGGTCACTATTTGCCCATAGCTGACACGCTAGCAGGTGCTACACGCCCCTGGGTCAGAAAGGAGTTGGGAACAACAGTAACTAAGAAGTGGTTCCACGCTCCTCAAAACCTCCAATCTCTTGCTACCAGATGTAGTTTATCGTCAAACCAAGGAATGTCCTATTCAGATGTAAATGCCTTAGAGATAACTAACGATTTAAGTTAAATCTTTAACCACCTCAGTTTTTTTTTTATACATAATTTTCTCGATGCATCAAGTATCAATAACTCATCTCCGGTTAGGTTAAAAATATTGAACTAAGATGACAGCTGTCCGAGAACAGCTCAGTCATGCAAAGAAAATAAGTTTTCCATTGTTTACCACACGTAGATCTTCTCTTGCAGCAGTCACACCTCAGTTCTTTGTACTCATTTTTTTTTTCAGCTGAAATTTCGATTTCCGTGAGAAAAAAAAAAGTACTCTTTTTGATTGATCACACTCACTTGTCTTTTTTTTTATTGTACTCTTTGGCTTTTTGCCACAAGCCTTAAACCCTCTTCCCACAGATTATCCGCTGCGAGCTATAATTTTGTTTAGTCAGGTTTTTATTACGAAAATGACAGTGGTTGCCTCTTAAGTAGAGATTGCTTGCAAACAAACTTGGAAGAGTGTACGTTATAAATCATCGTATGGTCAAGGCCGTACCTTAAAATTCTTGCTTCCAATCTAAAAAGCAAAACACGTGTGGAAGGAACCAAAAACATAAACAAAGAATAGAGAGGGAATAAAATAGATAGCGATGAAAAAAATAAAGACAATATTTAAAATGGTTCAAGATGATTGTAGGATAGAAAAAAAAACGATGATTGCGTGAAAGGATGCTAAAAGGCGATAACAATATAGGATTTATTTCGCAACAATGAGAATAAAATAATTAATGGCGGCCTCCAGGTTGGTTTCTAAATTTCTTATTGAAATGAAAAGATCAAAGTGGCGGAAGTACTAATTGACACAAGAGACGTCACTCATTTTGATTTCTTCTTATTTCTTCTTCTTCTTCTTCTTCTTCTTCTTCTTCTTCTTCTTCTTCTTCTCATATCCTTTAGAGACGTGGACAGTCATGACTCAACAGATTCCTCTTTTCCATTAGTCT